AAAGCCGTGCCTCCTACACGTGGAGCGAGCCAGGCCAATCTGGCGTAGCAAGGGCCGTCGCAAGGGAGGCGGCAAAGGCCCGCGTCCAGCTTTGTCGGTGCGCCGTTCGATGGCTCGGGCTCGGGTGCATCGCAGGCAAGGACGCAGGACCTGCCAAGCGAAGAGTCAGCGGCCCCAGATCCTACTCGCGCCGCAAGGTTCGAACTGCTTGCCAGGACACGCTGCCTGGCTCTTGGGCTTGGGCTCGGCCATTCAGGAGCCTACCAAAGAGCTGCCTGAAGGCGCCACATGCGCCACGCACCATGTGTGCGTGGCTTCGTGTCCCGTGCACTTCGGAGGTGCCAAGGAGGAGCCGGAGACGATGCCCACGGCTGCTTGGCTGATGCTCGTCAGAAAGCGCAGCCCTGTCGTCGCTTGCGTCGGGAGGTCCTGGAGCCACTGGAGCCTTTGAGCAAAGCTCGCGAAGTTGAAAGTGCAGAAGCCGAGAGCACACGAGCCGAGAGCCCTCGGGACACCGACAGCCCCGCCGCGAAGACCGTCGATCAGGAGGCATCCTACATGGAAGGGAGCACCTCCACAGGAGACGGTGCTGAGGGCCACATCAGCAATGGCAACGCAGAGGAAACCCGGATCATTTGTGAGACCGACCCGAATGAGGTGATAGCATGGAGGGCATCCCAGCTGCATTCGGCAATATTCAGCACAAGGTTAGTTTTTTCTACATATACATACATACATATATACATACATACATATATATATATATATATATTGTATGTGCAATACATGTTTCAGGTGTACACCAGTGTCCGGTTTCAAAAAAGGTGTACACCAGTGCATGTATGTCCATTTGTACCTATATTTCCAGTTGTTTGCTTGTACTTATTCGTGATTTGTGGTCATACATGCACATACCTCGAAAGAAATGTGTCTCGGTATACATATAGACATACAACATATGTACAATGATGTGTATGTGTGTTGGCATATGCAGACACATACACTTGTATGTGTGCACATGCTCATGCTGGTATGCATGGTGCGTATGTATATATGTTTTGCATGTTTGTCTGTCTGTCTGTCTGTCCGTCTGTCCGTATGTATTTATGCTGGGAGGGGTAGCCTAATGGCCTAGCGGAACCTGTCCCAAACCTCGCCTGAGCTTCTCGAGTGCGAGTGCGAAAATGTACTCACGTTTATTCATCGCCAAGTCAGTGCTGGAATCTGTGCAGTCTGAGGAGCTCTTCTTCAAGCTTGGAGAAGTTGATGAGAAGCCATCGTCCTCTTCAGCAACTCGCATGCGAGTTTGGCTGCAACATGTCATGTCTGCAGGTGCTGGCCTAAGTAGAGTCAGTAGAGAATTGATCCACTTCCCTTGGAGTTTGCAGATGGTCACCTTGGTACAGGCACCCTAATCCTGCCCTGTACCTACGAAGCAAAGACCACATGCAGGCTCCGTCGGAGCACGGCACGTGGGGCGAGAAGGGTTCTCTGGCTCGCCTGTTGCGGCGCGAGGGCTTGGAGATGCCGCAACTTGGATACCCATATTCAAACACTTGTAACTCCTGCTCCTGGGCCCTCCCCCTCCAACCTGCTCATCCCCGCAGCCCACCTCCACTTGGGAAGAAATTAGGCAAAATGGGTTTGGTATCAGAGTCCTGTTATCATGTCTCGCGTATTTAGTTATGTCACAGGTGCGAGCGTTGTGCTACATGATGGGGCCAGCACTTGAAACTCAATGGACTGACCAGTCGGATATAAGTACCCACTCCCGATCGGGACATCCCCGTAGCCCCTGCACTAACTTGCAGTACCGAGATCGCAGACGAGGAGTGCGCGCGAAGCACGCGCGTGTGTGATATATGTACGCATTGATGTAATGATGTATGTACGTGTATGCGTATGTGTATACATCCATATACATATACATAGCTCTGAGACCAGGCAGAGCGGGCCTGTCTTGCCAGGTGGGAGGCAAGACACGATTTCCTGCGATCAACCTTGCGGTGCGGCATGTGGATAGGAATGCTGCAGACGTTACTCGAGTGCCAATGATGTCGAGTCAAAATAAGATCCTATCTACGATAGCTGGGCTTACAAGGATATCATCGAGGGATTTGGAAGGGTTCCTTTCAAGGGTTCATGTATGTTACGTTTTAATATACGGAAGTAAGTTTATGTGATATACGCGAGGAGTTACATGTACAGCGGCGGCAGTTATAATGCAGCGTGCTATGCAGAAACAAGCAGAGGAGGATTTAACATGGCAGGGGGTGGGGACTGTATACTGCAGGTTGTGATCCCAATGCTGAGGACTAAAACAGGCAAGCTCTGTTTCTGATGGGTACGAGTTATAGAGACGGCATAGTATGGAGATATTACGATAGTGGGGTTGCTAGCCGTCAAGCAGAGATGAGTATGGATTCCAGCGGGCGCACATGCAAGACGCTCGCAGGGGTGATAACTTAGTTGTAGGATGCTCATACTCTGCCTTTTGAGACTGGATGGTTTGCAATGCAACTGCCTTCAATATCCTTTAATCGTGTGTGTGCACTTACGTACATACATACATATGTATATGTGTATGCAGTTGTATATGTGTGTGGGTCAATCTATTTAGCTGTCTCTCTTTTTGCCCATCTGTCTAACAGTCTGTCTATCCATCTATCTACCTCATCCGATTTAACTTTGTTTAGTGTAATCGGATCCAGTCTAGCCTTGTCAAATCTGACTTCATCTATCTGTCTGTCTATCCCAGTCTGCCTGTAAAGGGTCCGACTTGATATGCATGCACAGATTCGTATGCACATACATCCGTACACCAACACACATATATGCATACATATAAATTGCGTACATACATACGCATGTACATACACACATGCATGCATGCATACACACACATGTATATATTCCACACTTTGTATGCATGAAGCTTTTACAGGGGCAGCCGGTGTTCTCGCGAGCAAGAAGACGCCGAGGGAGCCGTCGATCGCCAGCACGAGCAGCTTCGATGTGCATCCCGCTGAGCCTGCCAAGCCCGCTGCTCCTGCGCTGGGTCAGGGCTTCTTCCGCAGGCAGTGGCCAAAAGCACGCAGGACAGATGATAGCAGCTTAGCATGAGCGGCCAACCCATGACCACCAAAACGGATCGAGGCAGCAGGTTTACTTCTTATTTGAAGGGTGTCTGCGTCGATTCCATGCGCCTTGAGGATGGTGAGAGTCAACGATCACAAATTAATGCGGCCCTGCCAGTACAGCAGTAACTTTTTCTCTTACAAGTATTGCTACGACCATCACCACCACCACCCCACTACCATACTAAGCCACTACCTCTGCAAGTGCTCCGAGTGACAGGTCTGACCGCTTTGGCGGCCCCCGGAGCCGCCGTGGTGCTGGCTGATCCAAAAATGCATCTCTTGAGTTGCGGGGGGTACTCCGGTATCGATGGGGAAGCCGGATCCTGAACTATCAAGAACCCCGAACCTAGTTTAAAATAGATTCGGGAAAATACCGTCTGCGTGCTTTCATCTTCAGTCACCCTCCAAGCCATACGGGGGCAGAGAAGTTGCTCGGTTACTCAACTGCAAAACCGCCATGCGTGTAGATAGAGCTTGCTCGAACTTTTCGGTTCAAGCCGGGGGCGGTTTTGTATCGGTCGCACCTGCGTGCAATGCTTGGGCGCTGCGTTCACGAGCAGTGATTCGAGGAGGCAATCTTGCTTCCCTGTGACTCGCAGATGTGCCCAAGGTTTCCCAGGACATCATGAGCAGATCGCAAGGCCGCATGGCTGCTAGGGACTCCTAGTGCTTCATAGCAGGATCCATGTCAGGAGGACGAGAGATCGTACATATTCCATGCTGCAAAAGTAGTACTCGCTGAAGTGTACAGAGTGAAGTGCGAGCTCACAGCCATCAGGTATGCGGGCCCGGTAAGAGCCTCGGATCTTCCTCATCCCTGCCACGAAACAGAAAAACTCAAAACAGTCTGAGGCCTGGAGCCGTCGTTCTCGGGACTGCCGCCCTGCTCGTGGCGTCCTCCTCAGATATTCCGGGTGTGCCGGTAAATCCAGAGAGAGAGGAAAAGGTGTGTCTGTGTGTGTGACTGATCGTTGGCCTCAACTGCTAGCTGCTAGCAGGCGGCAAAGCTGGTAGATGTCGGCTGCTTCCTACCTCCTGCAGTTTCGAACTCAGCACCTGCTTCCGCCGTTTCCCCTCCGTGGACACAGCCTCGGCCCGGTGAGGCCCCTGGCCTGCGGCAGTCAGGGGCCGGACAAATTCTGAGACTCTAATCTGCAACTTGCGTGGCACGTCGCGTCTTCGAAATGCTGCCGAGTTTGTCTTTGGAACCGAGGAACCTCTGGCCTTGTCTGGATCTCAGAGCATCCCAAAGCTCAAGAAACCTTGAAGCTGCATCTGCTTCAGGCCGGTCTCAGTCTGCTGCCTACAGTGGCACAGGCAGAGGAGGCGGTGGAGTCTGCACGAACCACACAGAAAAGAAGAAGCCCGTACTGAGTGTGCCTTGCAGGGTACCCCCGAGTCCGGCCTCAGCCTCTAAATCTGTGAGAACAGTCAGAGACCTCTCTCAAAGACTGCCCTCTGCCGCTCAGAAAGCGCCAACGCCTTGGTAGAGAAGTGGAGGCTGGGGATAGCTGTGAGCTTCAACAAGGGGATTTCAGGCCTAGGGTCAAGTGTGCCATGCCGGCTGTGACAGGGCCTTCTCGGAGAATCCCGATCAGTTCGATCCAAGCGCCGTCTCCAACGCTTCCGGCGAGGCCCTGCTCCATGAAACAAGCGGATCAAGACCAGGACGTTCTTTCAGGGTTCCGTTACGTTCCTTTCTCTCCAGCAGCAGCAGCAGCAGCAGCGACCACTGCTTGCCAACTGTTGCGCACAAGTTTGCCGCCGAGCTTGACCTTTAGTAGCAAAGCGGCCTGACAGGAAAAGCCTTGGAAGCTGGTTGACCCCCTTTCTAGGTCTCTCTTGCGACAGGGCTGGGGATTCACATATTATGGTTGTCTTGCATCCTTTATCATTTATTCTCCCAGACACCCAGAGCCCGAGCCCCTTGGTGGCGCTTTGTTGCCTCGAACCAACCTCTCAGACGTGGAAGCTTGGCACGCTCACGGGTCGTGCGGACCAGCTGCGACCTTAGTCATTGGGGCGGGGGAAATCATTCTAGTAATGATAGTCACAACTGGTAGTGGTGCTGCTCGCAATGGTAAAGTACTACGACGTCGTCGTAAGCGCACAGGGGTATTCCTGCTTGCCTATCTTGGCCCGAGGGAGACCGTGTTTCTGATCGTGGGAGCAGTTGGCTTTGCGGCAACCTCGGCAGTCATGCACTTCAAGGTTCTTCTTCTTTTCTGAGAGCAGTTTGCGCGCGCGCGTGTCTCTGTGTCTCTGTGTGTCTCTGTATATCACTGTGTGTCGCTGTGTGTCTCTGTGTGTCTCTGTGTGTCTGTGTTTGCTTTTGTGTTCGTTTGTGTGTGCCGCGAACGCGGGCACTGAATTTGTGTTTATGTTGCGCGTTCCGCCGTTTGCCGGGGATGCGATCGTACTGTTTTCGTCGCCAGCCGCTTTGCCACTGACATTCGCAGCAATGCGGCCATCCTGATTGCCAGACGTGATGCAGACGCTGCTGCTCAGGGTCATCTGGATCGTACTGAAGCACGCATCATCTCATTGCAAGAATTTGCAAATGGACTACAAGTGGCCCTGAATCGATGGTTGTCTTTTCAGATTCACCAGACTGTCTCCTAAATTCAATGGTTCTTGGTGCAGAACTTACAAAAGTGTTGGGAGGCACCCGGATTGCTTGTGGTTCAGTTCAGGGCTTGCACTGCACCGATGATGGTCGGCCGCAGCACCAGGCTGCGTTGCCTCGAAACTCCCTTTGCGCAGATTCGGAAAACAGGGCACCCATATGTCACGGGCAGCGACACCGTGGGATCTGCAAGATGACGACCCGGAACAACGAGCCCCCGATATCAAGAAGCCTCCGATTCGTGTTTGACACCAAGGCGGCTGCGTTTATCGTGAAGTTCATTCTGCCAGACCCAAAGGCCTGCAGCTCGAAGCGTCTGTGAAGCTTCAATGGTGGCAGACCTCGAGCTGAGGATGAACCAGTGGACATCGAAGCAGCAAAAGCCAGGCCTAGACCGGAGTGGTCCCTTGGCTGCAGGGAAGCTTTGCGTTTTGTGCGGTGGCTATTCTGGTGTTTCGTGTAGAGCACGCTGACCCTGGGCGCCAGGGTGATTCAGCGAGATCTGAAGGAGGCCGAGGAGATGAAGAAATCCAAGGACTGTCCATAACTGCATCCGAGTCCTGATGTCATGGTGCCATGCTGTCACAATGACCCAGGAGTTCAAGGAAAGGCAGAGGCGGCTGAAGCTGTGGTCTTCTGCAAGTTCCCCAAAGCTATCCCGGGATGCACACACGAATGCCAGGGGCCGTGGCATGCGTGAGGGCATCATGCCTCGCTGAGCTGGTATGGCCGAAGAGCATCAGAGTTCTTTTGGCAGAAGCACATGCTAGCACGTGTAGAAGGCATGAAGGGTGATCGAACCTTGCTGGAGCAGACTTTGCCCTAGAAAGCTTGCCTGGCAAGCCCTTGTTGGGCCACATAGCAGTGATGAAGTGCTTTGAAGCACAAAGCGCACTTCCCTGTCATTCTCCATGTATATATTCGCCCCGGCACAGCCCACACGGGCTGAAGAAACATGCCACCTCCAAACCGACAGTCAAAAGCACAGAGTTCAAAAGGCGTATTTGATGGTTCCGCGTCTTCCGAGAGGCTAGACAGAGCATGGCCGCCATACGCTGTGATGGAAAGCAATCCCTGCAGTACTTCTTGGGGGTCAAAGCAACAACAAGGACACCAGCGAAGTTCCAGTCCAGCTTGAACACAACGCAGATTTGAGATGTATGCAGCATCTCCAGTCTGACACTTGAAGGTTGTAATCCAACACGAGCCTTTGATGACCGCTGCCGTGCATGGCAGTCCTCACTTGGGAGCCCTTCAGATCGCCCCGGAGCTGAAGACTGCGGAGGCCGAGGTCTCGTTGCAGCGCTTCCGCAAGCATGGCCGAGCCCTTAGCCCTGAGATTTCTACGACGCAACTCGCGCGCGTCGCTTTTTTGTCAGGCGATGCTGAGACGGAGGCGGCTGTGGCTGCTCTCCGACAGGCGGCGCAGCTGGCATGGAGCACGCGTCGAATGGAAGAGGGCCTCCGGGCAGCGGATGAGGCCGGGAAACACCGCTGTTCTGCTCGTGATTGCAGCATCGTCGACGGCAGTGAGGCACGCCAGTTGCTTCAAGAGCGCCGCGACCGAGAAGGGGAATTAGCGACTTGGCTCAGCAAGTGCGACTCCAGAAACATCTCGAGCTTGAAGACGCGATGAACTGTGTGCGACAGCGACAGCTTTGAGGACTTCCTGTCTTGGACCATCTGTGCTTTGCGGAGACGGCGGAACGAAGCAGAGGCAATGCGCGCGGCGCTCGGTCCTTTGAGAGCTCATCACTTGTTCTGCAGTTTTTGACCCAACTTCCAAAGGTTTTGCACAGCGGCGGTTGGAGCTCTACCGCCAGATGCAAATGCTGCCCCAGGCCAGGCTCAGGGCCCCAAAAAAGAGCTGACGGTTGGTCTGTCTGGTACTACAACGAGGCTTTAGGGCGTTTTCATATGGGCTGTAAAAGAGTTTGAAGATACCCCACCGAGGTTGCAAGTAGCCTTTGCGAGATAGCCGAGCTCTCCCTCGCTTTGGACGAGGTCGGGAAAAATTGGTTTAGGGTTTCGTCTCTCTCACACTGTCCGTGATACATGTAAGAGCCGCTTTTTGGCATGAGCATGAACACGCCAAGCAAAGGCATAGGCATGGAAAGTGATAGCATCACGAGGCATGTGTCTATAGAGAGTGACAGTGAGTGATTGTTATTCACTATGACGGATCGTCTTCTTGCTGTCGAGGACCACGTTCAAGACAGATTACAATCATCCCCGCAAGCAGTTTGACTCTAAGTGCAGATATTCCCAAAGCAGATCCTGAAGAGTGTGGTAGCGCTGCGGGATTCTCTAGTACTGGGTCAGGGCATTTGCTTTGGCGGGGTGAGCAGCTTCGACTAAAGTGGCATGCTGTCCACAGTCGCATTCATTGTCAAATCAAAGAACTCAGCGTCCTTGAAGTTGATGAATCCCCGCTTCCGCAACAGTGTCGTGCGAATTTGAGGGTGTTTGAGGGCGGGATGCGTGCTCTCACCACCGTGCCGTGCTGATTCTGACCATCACTTCGCTAAAGGTCTAAAGTCCTGATATGAAGCATTCAATGGCTCCCCGACGTAGTGGAATTTCCTTGCGGATATGTCCAAGTTAGGCGACAAGCAACAAGGGTTTCGGAAGTCGGCAAAATTGGAAAGCTTTTGCTGCGACTGTGTGGTGTGCATTTTGGACTCTTGAAGTGTTCTCGGGGCCGCAGGAATGCGCTTGAACGGATCTTGAGTTCTTGGGTATGTATGGTTTGGACTGTTAGGTCGAGGGCCTATGTGTGCACACGTATCTTTTGTGACATGCACATACTGTGTTTCTATTTATGAACAATCAAGTAAATATACACATATAATTTCACATACATGCGTGCAGATGTGTATATGTATATGTGTGTGTGTGTATATATATATATATATATATATATATATATATATGTGTGTGTGTGTGTATGTGTGTATGTATGTATGTATGTACATATATATATATATATATACATATATGTATGTATATATCATATCATATATGTATGTATGCATGTGAGCATGCATTCAAGCACGCATGCATGCATGCATGCATACATGCACCCATGGTGCGCATGTATGTGTGTATGTATGTATGCGTGTGTATACAACGGCATATGAATATGTTGATCATACAATACTGTACAGTATGTAATGTTGCAGCTATAGGTTGCATGGATGGTTTCATGCACTTCTCCGAGGTTGTCGAGGCTACAGAGGCCGGCCAGGCGGCCGAATTGATCTTCAAGCGCTTGAAGGAGACGTCCCGGGATGAAATGTTCCGTTGCATCGCGGGACTGACATCCCACTCATTTCTTAGTGTCGGAGGTCCGTAACTTGTTGACATATGAAAAACCACCTTTGTTGACGTTTTCCGATTCCGCGGCATCTTCATCTTCGGGGTGTTGACATACTCTAGCTCGCTCGAGCTCAGACGGTTGCAGAAGTCTTCAGAGCTTAGTCGAGTAAACTTCGAATTTGCAGGGTCGCGAGTTCTTCGCGGGTTGAATGCAGGAGCATCTTGTGAGCGGCTTGGTAATAGAAGCTTCGGCGTGCATTTTCCGGCATCAGGATCACAGAGGCGAAGCAAGGGTTCTGCTGGAGGTTGCTCCGGACTCAGCTCTTGCTAAATCTGGACATAGGAACAGGCGACGTGGCATCATCGCCTGTACGAAATAAGGTCGCCAAGGTGGAGACGTTGAAGGGACGCACAGTGCAGGCCTTGGCGTTGCAACAAAGCTGCTGCAGTATGCTGAGTCGAAAGATCGAAAATTTTGCATGATCGACAATGATCGCAGAACCTCCTGTTTTTTCTCCGGTCGGCTTTGTCACCAAGGATGTGGCTCAGCTGGCTGCGAAGAATGCAAGGGACCAGGTGAGAGCAGGTCAGGGCAGTAGCAGTCAAACACAGCTTGAGCTGCACGACGCGGCAAACCCTGCAGAAAACGTATTGGGTGGCTGTTATTGTTGTCGTGGTCGGTCAGTCTTGTGTCACCTAGCCCGAGTCAAAACCACACCCCTCGTCCGGATCGTCCGAGTAGCGTGCGCTAATTTTCCGAAGCACCAAGGCAGCCTCGCTGTTGAGAGAACATGGCGACAGCGCCGGCGAAGCAAGAGCGTGCGGAGCTTAGCCCCCGACGCGTAGACATTTCGAGAAGCCTTCCCTTCTCCCTTCGAGTCACCCAGAGGGTGCACGGGAGGGGGGCCAGGAGCGGACTTTACAGTTACATAGTGCGAGAAGCACCAGCACAAGGTGCTCCGTCAACTCGATGCATGTCGCCTTTCTGTCCTCACGTCCCTTGCAAGGTTGACCGTCTTGGCAGAACAGCTAGTGCTTGCCTCGGTCAAACGGGTATGGCTGGTATACCTACCTACCCGACTTAATGTCTTGATTGGAAGTCTCTACGATGCGACCAAGGTCTCGGCAAGCCACCACGAGGAAGCCCTCGAAATGCTTGGGGAGGCCAGCAGTCAGCCTAGCTTCCCCGATTCAAGAAGCGGTTTGTGCAGGCAGCCATCAGGTTTCGCAAGGCTAAGGCGAACACGGCTTTCGCTGAAATGACTGTGCCTGAGAGATGAATTGTTCTGCTGCAACAGGTCTTGTAGCACTCCTGTGCAATTTTGTCAAACTCAGGTTGGTAGCAGGCGTGACTGTCCACCTTGATGTAGGGAGCGTGCACTGGCCCTGGCTGTCATCAATCATCTCCTGCTTCCTTATTAAAGAGTCATCCAGCATTGCAGCGCCCCTCCGGCCTAGGTCAAAGGCGCAGCAGGCAGCAAATACTGCGATACCCTCAGGAGAGCCTGACACACGACTTGCGCCGTGCCATAATTGCACGTGAGGCTTTGGGCGTTTGCCGACAGCTCGACAAGGCATGTCGCAGTATGCGGCCTGTGTAGTGACAGCGGTGGTCGGAGTCGTGGTGGGAAGTCGGTGACGGTGATGGTGGCCACGACATGATAATGATGGTTGGGGATATCGATGTTGATAGCGATGCTTGCCACCGTACGGATGAATGAAGACAAGTAACATGAACAAGGAGGCGCTTGTGCGAATGTACCTGCCTAATGATGCTCACTATGATGGTGAGGAGGTGCGTGACGATGGTGACATGAGGCTGATACCAATCATGGGCATGATGTTGAAGACCATAGTGACGATGACGATGGTGTATAGGTGTCAGCAATGGCCTTATTCAAACCGTGGACAGGTTGATGCACGAAGTACAGGAAGACCCGTCACCTCTGCCCTAAGAGGGTAGCCGCGTAGGATGGTGCCAGTCAGCTGGCTTCCGCCCTCCTCGCTGCAGCCAGGCCACCTGCAGAGGGGAAGTTGTTTTGTGAAAACGGAACAGGCGCCACTGACTACCGCTGTTGCTGCCACCGTGTGTGGCCGGTCAAGGAGAGACGAAACGGCGCGGGAAAACCCTGAGTTTCGGTTTTCGGCCGCTGCTGCTGCTGCTGCTGCTGCCGTAGCTTCTTCCCGTTGCTCCGTGACTGCCGTTCCCAGCCATGTTGCTGCCTTCCACAACACCGAGGTTGTGCAGCTCCTGTCGAGCGAAAACCAGCTGCTCCTACTTGCTAACCTGCCGCTTCCGCAACACCAACACGAACAACAAGGTTGCTACAACTACCTCTGCCACTTCCGAGCACTGCCAATGCTACTCCGAAAACTGTTTGTTTCACTTGATGCACCGTGC